ACTCTGTACTTCATCCACCGTTTTCACGAACTGGAGGCGAACGCGGTAGCTCTGATCCACAGCAAAGATCTGCACGGGGAGAGCAGGGGTGAGCGGGGCTGGGCAGGCAGGGGGTGTCCCTGGATGGGGGGACGGGGTGATGCTCACATTCAGCACGGTCTGCGCCGAATGCACTGGTGCCTCGCCGTCCTGAGCCTCCACCGTCACTTGGTACTGCCCCTTCAGCGAGCCATCCAGGTTGCTGGCCACCCTGGGGACATCAATGATCCCACTGGGGTGCACAGGATGTCCCCAGAAGGGCACGGCCACCCCCAAAGCTCCACCCTGTCACCGTGCCTGGGGCAGGACTCCAGAATGCCTTTGTCCCACTGGCAGGAGCCGAGCTGCATCCCTCCCCCCCAGCCCAGACCCACGGCCTCACTGGATGCTCCCGAGGTAGCTGTCCTGCTCCTCTGTTGTCACCACCTTGAAGAGTTTCTCAAAGGGCCGGCTGGCCCCGTTGTCCTCCACGAGCACCACGCTGACGACGGAGAAGGTGATGGCCCCCCTCGGCCCTGAGTCAGCGTCCTTGGCCTGCAGGGACAGAGCATGGCACACAGATAGGGATGGCCACCAGCTCTCCGGGTCAGGAACGGGCGAGCCCAGCTCCACGGACTGGCAGACGCACACACGCAGCTTCTCACCCTCACAGTAGCCACTTGCAGGTCCACAGGAGAGATTTCGGGGACAACCACTGCCAGGGAAGGACAGATGGATGGTGGGGTGATGCTGGAGTGCAGTCAGACTTGCTGCAGACCCCATTTCCACACAGCCCTTGGGCTTGGCAGAGCCCTGAGCATCCCCCCGCTGCCCTTGAACCCACAGCCTTCGTGGGAAGTGTTGGTTACTCCAGCCTGGCCCCTGTACCCCCTGTAGCCCTGCCCGGGTTGGGGGAAGACCCTACTGCTGGGGAGTGTGGCAGAGCACGTGTGGGTGGAGAGAGGAGCCCACAAGGACACACCAACTCTGGCTGCTCACCAAAGGTGTCCAGGATGGGCTGGAAGACTGGTGTGTTGTCGTTCACATCGCTGATGAGGATCCTCAGGGTTTCTGCAAATGCCCCAAAAGCAGAGCTGCGGTGGCTGATGGAGCAGCCCTGCAACACCCTCCTGTGCTTCTCGGCCTCCCAGCAGGCTCAGGTCCTTGTGGCAGGGACCAAAAGATCTGGGAACACCCTCCCTCCATCGGCAAACCGCCCAGCTCTTGCCCTGCTCCCCACAGCTCCTCCTTGGAGGTGGCCGGAGCAGGTCCCACCGTGCCCAGTGGTGGTGGAAGCGGCGGGGAGTGGGTGCCATACCGTTCTGGCTGTAGCGGTTGCCCTTCTCAGTGTACAGGTCTTCCACCCGCAGTGTGAGCACCACCGTGTCGCACAGCTCGTAGTCGATGTCCGAGCTGTTCACCAGCACCGAGCCGTTGGGTGTCAGCAAGAACCAGTCCCAGCACACCTCCCTGGCGCTGCTCGCCCCCTTGAAGCAGGCAACTGCCAGCTCCTCAAAGACCAGTGAGTGGTTGGTGTCAGGGTCGGAGGCGACCAGCGTGTGGACCAGACTGTGCTGTGTAATGTTCTCCCTCACATCCACATCCTGCAGTGAGTCTAGCGGGATGGTGGGGGGTTCATCGTTGACGTCTAGGATATGGACCACCACCGAGACATTGGCAGTGTCCCCCACGTTGTCCGCAGCTGTGTTCTCTGCCAGCACCACCAAGGAGAAGAACTTCTCCTGCAGGGTGTCATAGTCCAGGGACATGTCAGGGTCCATGGACAGCTGACCCTCATAGTACCCTGGCCCCAGGTGGAATGAGCGGATCAAGAAGTTGCTGGAGCCACTGGTCCGCTGAAGCAGGAAGGAAATGCGGGAATTGATCTCTGTCCGGTCAGCATCTGTGGCCTCCACGTCACCTACGAAGAGCCCTGTAGACGGAGACACACTCAGTGGCCAATGGGCACTGACTCCGGGCCACCGCTGGTCCCATGAGCCTGGCCATGCAGCTTCTACCTGGAGAGTCTTCCAAGACTGAGAACTTATAGGAGTGGTTGAGGAACATGGGTGCGTTGTCGTTCACATCCTGCGGGAGGTAAAGGTCGTGGTTGTAGCCGCTCCAGGAGTGTAGCCGCTCAAGCCCTCTTCTGCCTCTCTGCATCAACTATTCCCTCTGGGACACAGTGCCCCTACCACGACCAGGGCATCCCACATCCCCTCCCTGCCCTTATAGCCCAGCTCCAAGCCTCTGCCTGCCGCAGCACGACCCTGCTTGTGCCCAGGGCTCACCCCCACGGTGATGGTGACGTTCACCGTGGTGCTGAGCTGTGGCACGCCGTGGTCGTACACTTCCACTGTCACCACCATCTGCCCCCGCTCGTCTTCCAAGGCCTCGCGGTCCAGCGGCTCTTTGCTGTGCATCTCGCCCGTGGCTGCG